ACCCCCGCGTTTATTGCACTCCTTGCCATTGATTAGTTTTATGCTCATCATTGTGGCTGATTACCAATACCATTTCTGCTACCATCATGACTGTGGACATGATGGACATCGGGATGGGGTTGAACAGATGCCCAAACGTTGGACAGTGAAGCAACAGAAGACCCATAGGAGTAGTTACAACCACAAGGTCAACATTGTGATGGAAGCAATCGCCACGTAGTAAAAGCAACAATGCAAACCAAATCAGCAGCAAGAACAATGGAGATAGAGCCAGTGAGCACTATAACACCTATACCCGTTACAAGGAATGACCAAAGGGCGGCAGTGTTAGTACTTACAATGAGACTGCGAATAGCAGCTATGCTACTAACATAGGACAATTAAGAATTCTGACTGTAGAACTTTCACAGAGCCCCTATAAGAAACCCTTCACGGGCTTCGACGGTACGTGTGATTCAGGAATTTCAACGAGTGCCTCTCCGCGCTCCCCGACTTGGAGAAGAAGTGGCTCCAGGAGCGGAGGTTTGAGGGTTTGGGGTTTTGGGTTTCGGGTTTGGGTTTCGGGTTTAGGGTTTCGCGTTTAGAGTTTAGGTTTTGGGGTTTCGGAGGTTTTGGGGTTGAGGCTGTGCCGTGCAGTTGTGGATTCGGGGTCACTTCCGTCAGGCATTCAGCTCGTACGACCAGCATCGGCACGCGCACTGCTAGCAGTGTTGAAATTTCCATGTGTTGGCCGTGGCTCTGGTGTCCAGGCTGCAAAGTGTGGTGGCGGCAGTGGGACCTTCACTGACCTCTAAATCGTGGACCCTTACTCGCAGTCCTGCTCCCTCTGAGCTCCGGCCAGCCCAGAAAGATGACACAATGCGAATCCGAAGCCCCAAAGAAGCAAAACCTTGAACCACATGCCCTAGCTGCTTGAAGGTTGGATAATTATGCTGGACAGGTGGGCAAAAACAGGCATTTCAAGAAGCCCATCACCCTCCCCCGCCAGCCTCAAACGCCTCAGCCTGAACCCCAAGCTCTGAACCGCGAGCCCTACGCCCTATATAAACCGAAAAACAAATGACAGGCCCTAACGTAGCCCGCATGTGCATGCACCACGCTGGTCTCCTGTGAGGATGCTTTGGTCTTTCTGAAGGAGCAGGCCAACAAGTGGCTTGAAAAGCACTGGGATTTGCGATTTAGGGCTTCAGGGTGTCTGTTCTGAATTTTGTTGGAGGGTTCTTGTGGGGATTGAATGTTTAGGGTCTCGGGCTTTTGGAGACGTGTCTGCAAGACCTCTGTCGGTGTTTGCTGGAATTGCATGCCAGACAAGCAGTGGCGATGACAAGAAGTTTTCAGTAGAGCACGTCTCCAAGCCTTCAAGCCTAAACCCTAAACCCTACGCTCCCATGTGATAGATGCGCCGGACTCTAAACCCACCGTGAATCCCAAATCCCAGTGATAATCCCAGTCTCGTATCCTGAACCCGTGAAGTTAAAAGCCACCATGATTTCGGGGCCTAAATAATTGCCAATGCTACTCTCAGGGTTTAGGGTTTAGTGTTTAGGGTTTAGGGGCCTAAACAGTTACCAGGCTTAGCTTCAGGGCTTAGGGTTCAAGGTTTGGGCTTAAGGCTCAAAGGTTTCGGGCTTGGGCTGTAGAGCTCAGGGTTTCGGTGAGCTTTTCGGCTCGAGGTTTGCAGGTCGAGATCCGAAACCTGTCTTTGGCGTAAAGATGCACGCGGTGATGTAGGGGCCTTCCTAAATTAGAGTAGGCGGTTTTGGGTATATCATGCTGCCCTGAACCCTAAACCTAAAACCCTAAACCTTGGGGCCCTGGACCCTAAACCCCTAAACCAGGATGCCATGAATCACAACAACAGCTCTCAACAAGAAGCCCAAGCCTTCAGCCCTAAACCCGAATGCGGGCTAGTCCTAGCAAGGTGGGAGGCAAAAAAACCCGAAAGCCTAAACCGCCGCCCACAAGGTACAAGCAGAGCCTTCAGGGCCGTGCTGACAAAGAATCCCAGAGAGACAGGCATGTCGCGTACTTATAAGGTGAGATGGTGTAACATCATAGAACAGAATAGAATGTAATGTGATGTAAAAAATTATAGACAGTAACATGTAGTATAACATAATGTAAAGTATAGTCTAGTATACAATATATGTGTCAGGTTTCTGGGTTTCCAGTTTAGGGTTTAGGTTTAGGGTTCTTCAGGGTTTAGGACTCAGGCGTATGGGTTTAGGGTTGATTTGAAGGTTACGGGATTTAGGTAGGGTTTAGGGGTTTAGGGGTTTAGGCTTGCTGTCTTGTGGAGTTTCCCGGCTGGTTGCGAGAGTCCTGGATGCAAAAGGGTTGATCAAGTCCTCCGCAGGCTTGCAGGGTTGTATAGGGGCCGAGGACAGGTAGGTTTGAGGCAGGTCCTTGTTGAGCTGTGGGAGTCTCCGAAAATTAGGGGTACCCTATTTTGGGGTCCTTTTTGATCTGATAAGGATCCTACTATTTAGGGTGCTATCTTAGGTCCCCCTCTTTTCGGAAACGGTAGTAGATTTAGACCAATGGCGAACCATCACGAAGAGGCCCGGCCATCCCTATCAATCACATGCTTTCCTCATCCTTAAGCCCTTATAGGCCCCGTACAGCACCCTTGTAGGGTCCTGAACAGTAGGGTCTTAAACGGAACTTCAGCCCCCAAACCCCAAGTCCCTAAACCCAAAACCCCTGAGCCCCTAGACACCTGAACCCCTAAAGCCGCCTTAGGTCCTAAACTAAACCCTAAACCCCGAAGCCCCAAACAAACCGAAATGGAGCCCTCGAACCCCACAAGCTGCGATCTTCCAGACCAGGCGTTCAAGCACCGCGAGCAGCTATGGCCCAAAGAAAGTCACACTCCCGGCGCCGTGGCCTTGCGCTTTGGGGTCTACATGGGTTGAGGGTTCAGGGTTGAGGGTTTAGGGCTGGCTCGAATGCATATCCTCTTTGCACTTACTTGCGCATGTAGGTACAAGTGCATGTATACACAAAAAAGCACATTTCGTGCAAGCGCGCATGCATTGATTGCATGGACACACGCAACTTAGTGTGGCTTGTGTGTGCCCCGGAGCCCGAAGTCCAGGATATGACATCAACGTCTAGTGAGGACGGCCGGCTTACATTGAAGGACCTGCATCCGGCTAGATTTAAGATTTAGGGGCTTCTGATTGCTTGCAAGCCTGTTGACACAACAGGGGGCTTCGGGTGTCGAGGCTAGCGGGGTCTAAGAGGTTGTTCCGGGTGTCGGAGTGGTTTGGCTTACTCAGGGGTTTCCTGCCTTGGGCCCAAGATCAAGCCATGCAACATTGACAGCGCTCATGCGGTTGTTGTGGGCCCTTGTTGGGGTCGTGTGGTCATCAGTGTCACCCTTCTCCCACCGTTCTCCTCCCTGACTATCATTTCCACCACGCTGCTCGCAGCTGCCATCTTTGTCAATACCAGTGCGACTCAGCAAGATCGGCGTAGCCGGAATGGCAGAAGAAGAGGAAAACCATTGAACCAGGGTGAACAGTTCTGGCTCAGTGCAGTTCTGTGGCGTGGAGAACAGCTTTTCGTATTCACAAGAAAAACCACCCAAATCAACATGGCCGTGCAAATGACAGTCAAGCAAGACTGAACTCTCGGGAATCACAATGACATCACATTCACGAGAGGTGTTGTGACGTGAGGACCACAATATGTCTCCCATGCTTCTTTGATTACTACAGTGTTCTGTTGATCCGTGTTTATCACTGTAACGATTTTCTTGGGACGCATGTCACGTTCATGGTGCTTGAGCTAAAGACATCGGTATTTTGGAAGCTCGCAAGTTGCATGCCAGTGCCCTGCAGGAGTTTGAGAAGGTGATGGTACTGAGCTCCTTGGTGCGGTTTAGACATTTGGGGAAGCGATCTATAAGGGCAGTACAGGGGACCCTAAACCCTAAACCCAAACACTTACCCTAAACCCTAAACCCTAAACCCTAAACCCTAAACCCAAACACAACCCTAAACCCTAAACCCTAAACCCTAAACCCAAACACTAAGCCCTGAGACCTTACGGCCTGGGGTCCAAAGGCTGGTGTCAGAAACTGCCCGAAATCACCCTTTCAACAAGGGGGTCGGCTAGGATGTATTAGGGTCTAGGGCTTAGGGTATATGTAGTTACACTTATGAATCTTGTTCCTTCAGGGTTCCGTAATTTTGAATAGGCTGTAACATACACCAAAACCCTGTTCTAGGTATTATGCCCCCCCCCCCCCTTCGGAAATATCATGGCGGCTTGGATTTGGGGTGTTACAGAATTGAAAGCTGCCGACCGTCTCGACTTTGGGTTTGCGATCTTCAATCTGCAGTGGGTTCAGGGTACAAAGGGTTGAAGGTTTAGGATTTAGGGCGAGCTCAGTTCAAGCCTGTGGAAAAGGATTTAGGGTTTAAGGTTTCCATCATTCTCGCAACCTTGAAGGGGCGGCTTGCGTGCATCGCGGCCCAGTTGCTGTAGCACGGCTTTTCGGCAAGTTATATAAGTGTTCCATACTGGTTATCCCCAGCCACAACCACTCCCTGCCCAAAGACCGCCACACATCAAACAAAGCTGTGATAACGACGGCCCTAAACCCTAATCGCTGGACGGAGTTTGGAGCATTTCCGAGCCTGATGTTGGAGATGGTGATTTTGTGGCTGGTTTTGGAAGTGCTGGGTGTTTTGGTAGAGGTGATGAGGCTGCTGAAGTTGACGAACTTAGGATGGCGGCAGCTGTATCTTCGTAGTCCTCCCGTTGTCGTCGTGAATGGCGGTGGTCGTTGCGGAGGTTGGTGTCATTGTTGTTGTTCATGAGGGTGACCACTTTGAGGATGACGAGGATAAGGGTGATGATGATGGTGATGATGATGTTGAATGGTGAAGATGTTGATGATGGTGATGATGATGATGATGATGGCAACTTCGGCGGTGCCGGTTGAAGACGATCAAACCGATGACAAGCATGATCTCACCTTTCATCCACAGGTGGGGTGAACTGGCTGGGCGCCCAAGACTTTCGTGAGCTCTTCGAATCCCTCGACAGAGACGGCTCTGGAAAACTGAGCCTAGGACGGGCGCAGCGCTTTCGGTTTTGTGGTTCATATTGGAGTGTGCATAGTTCGAGTCGTATGATCCCGAGAATGCCTTTTGCATTATTTCTGAAAGCGCCACATCCTGAAACGTAAACCCTATGCACACTTATTCTTATGTCACGAGGGAGCGTACAATGCTCACAGACACCCAATCACCCAAAAATGAACTCCCAAATTATCCCCTTAACAGCGCAGCAGAAGCCAAAAAGCACGGACAACCCCACACTCCCGCAAGAATCCACACTTACACTATATAGCCTTTGAACAACGAAGTTAAAAGGCAAAGCAGAGCAATGCCAACTTAAGAGCCCCGGAAGGTCTAAACGCTAAACCGAAGAGCGGAGCCTTGAACCGAAGACCCGAAGCAGAAGAAGACCTTCACGGGAGAGCTCCTGAGCCTCTGAATCCTAACCCCCCCAAAGCCTGAGCCCTGCAATGCGGCCCGTCCTATATCTAGGTGGGGGGCGGGGAGCAAAAAAAAGCCCTGAGCCCTACAGGAGAGCTCCTGAGCATGGCAATGCAGCTCTCAGACCTCGCCGAGCGGTTGCAGCGCTTCTGTACCGACAACGCAGATCCTTCGACGGGCTTCAGGGTTTTGGGGTCGTTATTAGAGTTGCCGTAGGTTTCTATAAAGGTTCTTATAAGAGTTCTTGAAGATTCTGCAAGGTCTTGAATCCTTACGGGTTTAGGGTTCAAGGCTTAGGGGCGGCGTCAGGGCTTCGCGGAAACGGTGCAATTTGGAGCCTTTGCATAACGCAAGACTTGGTCTTTGCCGTTCGCTTTTTGTATTTCGGGTCTTGGCCGCAAGGATGGCAGGGACAAAAATCTTGAGACTGAGGGCATGGGGGGGAGGGGGGTTTGGAGGAGGTAAACCCCAGACCCAAAGGGAAGGGTTCCGGCCTTCTAAGCTTTTTATGCCCGAAGCTCAGGATCTTTCTCCGGAAAACTGCCTCCTTGAGTTCCGCCAGCAGCTGAAGATGGGATCGGACACTCTTTGGGCTTCGAACGAGGGCTGTTCTAGTTCAGGGGTTGGAATAATTGGTATTACTGTCACCTGATATTCTGTGGGGAGCCCTGAACCCTAAACCCAAAGTCCTAAATCCGAAGCCCTGGCCCTAAAACCTTAAGCCACGTCACGTTACGGTGGTGATGTGGGGATATACCAGCTTGTGGCACCTGCTGAGATGCTTTCACGGATATCAGGCAGAGAGGTGCAGTGCATCAAGCCTAGCCGCTGCACCCTAACCCTAAACCCTGGGACCCTAAACCCTAAACCCTAGGACCCTAAGCCCTAAACCCTGATTAAAGCAGGACCTCGTGGGAACGAAAGCGAAGCCGCTCATTCCAGACAAGCGGATTACCTTCTCTAGCGTCTTCTTGAAGAGTGCCTTGGCTCTGATATAGGGGCAGTAGGAATGAGAATGGGGCTTCGAGGTGGATGATAGAGTATTCTTGAATACGGAGCCCGATGGACTTGTATTGGCTGCATTGGTCGTTACTGAGGCTTCTACATGATTAGGGTTTAGGGCCTAGGTTCGAGCTATAGTGTCTCCAGGAAAGCCGGGGAGGCACGAAGAAGTTTTCCTTCGGCATCGCTATTCGAAAGGGCGACGTGCAACAAGCCGATGACAACGACAGTCGCACTTAAACGCCATGAAAATGACGGTGGTGATGGGAGTGTGGTTACGGGGTTGGCAGAAGTCAGAAAACCGTAACAAAACCTAGCGCACAATCGTCATCAGTACTTTGCTCACCATCGTCACGGTCACGACCACTACCGTAATCATCAGCAAGCAGCATCTTAATCAACGTCCCCCCCACCGCCGCCGCCGCCGCCGCCGCCCCCGCCGCCGCCCCCACCGCCACCGCCACCACCACC